GTTTGTGAAAAATATTTTAGGAGATAAGTTGAGAGGGGTTTTGTGTTGGATTTTTCTGTTGTTTCAAGTGACCTCATGATTTATTTCCAAATCTGGAACAGTTTGTTCTTTTCCTTTGAAAACAAACTGAAAAAAATGTAGCTTTAAAAACAAAAACAAATCTACAGAAAGACTTTACTGAGTCTATTTCTCCTTCCTTCCATTTGAGATGATCAAACAGCAGTTTTTCTTTGAAAGTGTTCATTGGCTCTCTTATAGCTGCTATATTTAGTTGTATTTAATGTACTTTAAAGGTACATTAAAAATGTGGAACAGAAGAATGAAAGGAAGGGAAAGTTTATTACCCCATTGCAGATGGGTCAAAATTATTTTGTTGTCCAGGGAAGTTTACAACTTGAATTCTTTGATGGCATAAGAAAAATAAAAGTAGTTATTAACACAAACACACGTGCACTCGCACACACAGAGACATACATATATTTGGGATGAATAACATGTATAGATACAATATAGATGTATGAGATGGAATTTAATGACATCAATAAATAAATTCTTGATATCAATTACTGAGATATTTTGCTTGTTTTGTTGTCAGTATGTGATTCAATCCCAGTTCCTATAAAGTTTTTACAGATGCAACTTCCATTAAAAATAGTGGAGGCAAAAAGGAAAAGAGAGAGAAAAGGAAACAATAACATATTTTCTTTGCAATATGCAAACCTAGCGAGGAAAAACAAAAACAAAAAAACAACAACACAACACCTCACTTGAAGCCAGGTTTTTAAAATGAAACTGCAAAATACCAAATGCAAAGTCCAGACTGTTCAGTAAATCACCTCCAGCCCCTGACAATCAGAGAGCAAGCAGAGCAGGAAGCAAACAGCAAGAGGCTTCTTTGTTCACAGATCCAAATGCCTCCTCGCCAGTGCTCATCACACATCACACTGCTTTCTCCTTCACTCTCTTTGCTCTCTCCCAGAGCAGCACCAGCCGTGATTCTGCAGAAAACAATCTGGGTTTTCATCCTTATTTCTCAGTGCCCGTGGCCCTGTTACTCACAGGCATGGTCCTGTCAAACTGCCCCGCAAAATCCTTCCATACATATAACTAAGCTTCCGTCTCACCTGCTGTGTGGTTTTGCTTTTGCATTCCCAATAAATTCAGGGGTTTTTACTCTAAATATGACTTTTATTATATCATCAATTCACTCTTCATTGTCAGGTAGCTGCCAGAGGCTTCTTTCTTTAAAATCACTGTACAAACAGTGGTGCATGAGAAGAATAAAACTCCTTGCAGGTATGTTTAGTAACAGACTGAAAGCAGGTCTCAGAGCAGAAAAATATGTAAAGGGGCATAGTTTATGAAATCTAATTAAAACAAAACCTTTAATTTTAAAATGTTCCAAGTCACATGGGCCTAAGAAAGAATCGTGTTAACATTTTCAAAAGCTCCCAGTTAATTTTTAAAATATTATTGGAAACATATAAGATTTTTGACCTCTTAAGGTATAAAATACAGAAAGGTATAAAATACAGCATAACTTGTTTAAAAAACAGTTTAAACTTGTTAAAAGGTACCAGTGGTAGCATTTTACTGAACTGCTCTGCAGCTGAGAGCCAAGAAGGACCGTGCCTTAATTCATGAGTTTCTCCTGAGCTTTCTGGTTTACTTCACTAGTTCCTCCTCGAGTTTACTGGTGGACCAGTAAAATGAGGGAACCATGAGGATTTTTGTTGGACTTCACATAATTCCTGATTTAAGTGAGCTTCCACTGGATTTGAGTTCAGGGGCTTGCAAGGATCAAGAGAGAATTTTCTCCAAAAGAGTTGCCCTATGAGTAGTTGACAAACAAAAATACTTGATAAGAAGTTATGTTATTTCAGAGTGAGTAGGGGATAAAACAAGTCAGAATAGCCGGACTAACTGAAGAGAAACAGAATTTGATCAAAAGACCACAGGTGAGCAAGGGTAACCATTTAGTGTGGGCTCACTTGAAACCAAACTAAACAAGTAATCTCAAGCAAAAAATGCCTGTATATAAAGAAGCAAAGTATAAAATAGCAGCTGCAAAAATCACTAAAATGTGGGCTCTTTCATAAAATTATTGCTACCATGATGCTAATATATATATAACACACAGGAATAATTCATGCATTTGCAGTAGAGCAAAACAGATGGGAACTTTCTTTTTGCTGCTTTAGCAACATTAAAATAATTACTTATAATAATCATGTTTACCAACCTTAATGCATGCACAGTATATTAAATACTGCTATGCCTCATTGTGAGACTGTCTACCCTTCTTCCTTCTTCCTGCATCTCATCCAGCCCAGACTTTCTTCTCTGCCCCAGCCCACAACTACTGCTGCTTTACTACCAGCAAGGCTCCAGCACATCCTGACCCCAGGATTTTACTATGGAAATTTTTCTCATTCCCATCTGTCTGGTGTTTCCTTGTCTCTTTGAGCTCATCTTTATCATAGTCCCACTGTGACAGTCCCCTATCTACAGGAAGTCCAATTTCTACAACTGCACCAACTTGTTAGTGATTACTGACCTGAACTCAGACTAGATCTGCCATTTGTGAAGTTTCTCTCAGTGTTTTGTTCTGTCAGCAGCCATTTCCTCCACTGATTTCACTGTTCATTTGACTTTCTGTGCCACTGCCCTCATGCACAGAACTCCTTGACAGCTTACAAAGAGAGGCCTTTTTTCCACACCACCATAACTTGCAGACTCTCCTACTACCTCATTCCTCGAGGGGCTTCCAAACATAGCAGGCATCTGACTTCCCTAATTGCCCTGTCATAGAAAAAGCAAAAGCAAATACCTTTCAAACTGCTGGTAACATTCCCATCCGAGGGAAGTAGTCAAGTTTCTATTGTCTGAATTGTTCAAACCAGACAGTACAAAGCATCATCCTGAATGCATGGGGAAAACCAAATATTCACAAGGGACTATCCTTGGCAAACTAAAAGGTGTTTTCTGTCTGCATTTTGTGATATCCTGAAGTGCTTTCCTGCACTAAGGTAAAAATTGGCACTTGGAGGTGAACCCTTCTTCCAGTATAAATAATGGCTATAGGTTCCTTCATGCAACTTTACTTCTTTGCCTTAGGTCTGCATCTGCAAGTGCCAGTTCAATTATCCTTAGTGATTTTATTAGTTATTCCTCTAGTACCTGTGAAATATCTTTTGTTTGCTGCTCAGTGGAGTGATTTAACAGAGTAAAATCCCATCTCTGAGGCCACCTTTAAGAAACTGGTCTGTCCAAACTATGCACTGAATGTCACAATGCTGGTCACCTCTCAGAGCGTATTCTGCCTTTGCCAAATGTTGAAGAATTGGCATGCTTCCATGAGTGGAGACAGGACAGCACTGTGGGGAAGGCATGGGGAGCAGGCACATTTGTGTACCACATGGGAATGTAGATGCCTAAGGAAACACAGAGGAGGAGAATGAGCGAAGTCAGGATCCGTAACCAAGCCGTACCTTTTTTCCCCACGGAGCTGGAGCGCAGGAAGAATGCCTCCAGGGTCTCTTGGCTCCACAGCCCCTCTCTGACCAGATGGGTGCTTTCTTCACACATGCAAACCTTCAGGGTTTAGCAAAGTACTCACCCTATGACCAGAAATAGGTTAGACCTGAACCGTAACTCCTACAATTAGCTCTTGTAGCCTTCATTTTATTGTATTAAACCCTAATATGGACATTTGTATTTGACTCAACCACTTTTCATGCTCTTCTGTTAATTTGTGCACCAATTTTAAATTTTTCTCTGAGGTAAAGAGTTTCAGCTTCTAGTGGAAAGAAACAAACCAAAAAAGCCAGTGAACATGCCAAGGGGACAGCAGGGCTAATATCCTGTAGCCTTTATACATCTACTGAGGCTCTGTGTAAATTGTAAGGCCTCTTGTTTTACTGCACACTGTTGGCATAGTTGGAGCAGGAGTCTTGTAATGTCAGCCAAGAGGACCCACACACGGACACCGAAGCCCCAGGAAGAAAAGAATTAACAGTCTTCAAAAGTAAAAAAGTTTTAAAAAGAGATATTTAAAAGGTTTGACTTGCAGCCAAGTGTTAAACAGTAAATACAAGTTTTAAGTGTCTTAACGATTGAGATGAAGTATCATAATTCAGCAGCATGGAATGGGACCTCTTACTGGGAGAGGCTAAAGAAGAAAAATGAACCAGCACAAAAAGGAACCCCCTCTAGGGAAGATCTCACACATTTGGGTCTGGAGTCTAGTTAGAGTAGGCCAAAACCTGATACTTTTATCTCCAACCTTTGACCCTGACATCTGGAAACTTAGTTTGAGTCAAACAGAAGGAAGTTTTCTTTGCTATTTCAAATACTTTATAGAAGAAAAACTTCAAGCATCTACAGTCAAGTCTGTTAGTACAAACTACTTCTATTTGTGCACTTGTAGTGAACTCTAAAATATGGAACATTTGTGCAGGAAATGCATGCGTCAGAACTTTTGGGAAAAGAAAGTAACTTGGTGAGACTGGCACATTGTTCGATGCTTGTATGGGATCCAGATAACAGCCCAGATAAACATCTCCAAGGGGGTGCTGAAGAGTATAAAAGGTCCAGTTCCTTTGATGTTCTTAGATGTTCTCATTTAATAGCTATCAGCCCTGGTGCCAGAAATAACAACATGTTTAAACATTCTGTATCAAAACACAAATTAAATTCATTTAGCATAACCTGTTTCCAAAGTTAATTTTCATCTTTAGCTGGAACACTAAGTGTGATGTAACTCATGTTCTTCCTGGCAGTTATTTTCATTATTATGTTTATTACTCATTTAAGAGACTTTTTTTTTTTTTTTTTTTTTTTTTTTTGAACAGAGGGATTAATGAATTTAGACTGCACATTATAACATCAAAAGCTTTGGTTTCAAATAAGCCCATCTGAGCTACAGGAGATTTTCTCCCCTTATATGAAGCTAAACAGCAACTTCAAAAACATATCTCAGTTATAGTATTATTTTCTAGTTGAGTGAAGTCATGGGTTTTATGTCAACCTGTTATATTTGCATATAATAAATGAATACTTATTTGTATCGTCCAAGTGACTCCTTTGACTCCTTTAACCCACAATCTGTTCAGAAGTCAGATGCTTTCCACAGATACCAACTCTCTGCTCAGGAGGATTTCTCATCATGTGAAAGAACAAAAATAATAATAAAGCAACCTCTTTTTCAGGATTCGAACAATTGTTTGAGATCAGATGACCAGAAGGGGGGAAGACACATGTCAGCATTTTAATATCATGTTGTTCAGACCACTAAAAATAAAATAGGAAATAAAGAGCACAATACATAACAGTTAGCAAAAGTGTTTCTTCCCTAACATGTTACTTTTGATCACTAAGCCTTCTGTTTACAAATCAAATCTTTTTCATCCAGTATTGATTAACATCAAGCTCTCATAGGATGTGCATGGAGAGGTCTCAGAAATCAGCCTGGATTTGTAAATGAAGGCAGAATTCTGCAGAATTTTCTGTTTAATAGTGCTCTCTAGGATATCTGAAGTCCCTCATCAGTTATTTTACTAGAAATAACAGAATATTGCTTAACATGCTGGCTAAATTACTTTATTTTTACAAATTAATACTAAGTTACTCCATGCAAGATATTTTCCTTATTATTTTCAGTGATTCTAGGGAGGTTTGCAGCACTGCTTTTTAAAGAGAGTAATTTTTGAGTTAAAGGTCCTGCCTCATCTTTCCCCCATATAGACAAAATACCTCTCACATCAGTGGAAGATACAGACCTCAGCTAAGGAAAATATTTCAAAAGCATCACTTTTTATTGTGCTGAGAATTTCACAGTGTTTAAAGGGATTCAGGAAGTAGGAAACAGCAATACACATCTCCAGTGAAAAGCAAGGTATTGTCTCTGAGACTGTTTGAAATTTACTGATATATCTGGAAATCACTGTGGATAAACACCATGAAATACCAAATTTTTTAGAAAAGACCAGCAAAGTCCTCTTTGGAAGGAAGTACATGCATAACTGTTTCTGTCTAGAAAAGGCACCCTTCCAGGGAACATAAGCAAATGGAAAATGGCTCTGTCATTTTGAACTACAAAATCAGAGGAGTTCTGTTCCATATTGTTTTACTCAAGACTGCATGAAACATTTGCAGTGGCTGAGGCTTCCATCGTGCTCTCAAAATCACCTCCCATACTGGAACATCCAATAGAACTGTATGAAATGCCCCTCATGATTTCCTTCTTAGCTCAATCTGCCCCCCATGATACCTCTCTTCACTGTCCTCCTACATCTCCATTTTCCATAAAGGAGGCCAAGCAGAAGAAAGCACACAGTCATTAAAATATGCACTTTGGCAACCCAACCAGGCCACCCTAGTTAATATTTACATTATGGAAGAGTAAAAAAGTACCTCATCTTTGGGCACATCATCTCAGGTAGCAGACTGCTTCTCTCCTCATATCTTCCGGTTCTCAGAAAAGGCCGCCCATGTGAGTGGGTGTTCTCTCCAAGCAGAGCCTGTTCCCATAGCTCTGGCTGGCATGGCATTTGGCTCATCACTTGCAGGAGACTTGGGCTCTACAAGGAGGAAGGAGGAAAGCCATGCTATTCTGAGTAAAGGCTTTGGTTTAATAAAACAGCACTTAGTTTTCCTTGTTGAAACCCAGAGCTGTGGCAGATGATAATTTCCAGGTTTACAGGTAGGGCTGTAGCTACTGATGCACCTATTCATATTACCTAGACCTCTTCCCAATCTTTACAAAGAATTCTTTTCAAGTCTTACAATAGCATGCTCCAATCAGACAGTGCACTAGAAGATTTAAGGTCAGGTGGCCTTTTGGTTAGTGATTCATCACTCAATCCCCTCACACAAGTAATCTGGGCGGCTCTGTTGGCAAAGTTTTATTTTACATGTAAGTGTTGGAGAGAAAAGAAAAAGTTAATACTGAAATCAAGGCAACCAAGGAGAAAAAAACAGAAATAATTTGATGGTTTAGTATGTTATTTAACAACTTAATAGAAATTGATAAACTGATATTTTAGTATTCAGGAAAACTAGAAAATATTATGTAGAGAGATTTAAGATTTGGTTTTGTAGTCCAAAACCAAATAAATAGCAGATGTGCCAAGGCAGATGGGTTTTTCAGTTTTCTAAATTTTCTTGTGTCTTAATTCTACAGTACAGCAAGGGACATATTTTCCTTTTGAAGCCCAGACCTAGTATTAACATTTATAGGAGTTATACACACATCAAAAGAAAAACCTACATTAAGCAATTTATAATCGGAATATTTTTTCTCTGAGCAGTGCAATTGCAGGATTTATCTATAGAAAATTGCAAAAAATTTCTCATGTTATTTCTGCTGCTGAGTACCTGTATGGCGAGGGAAAGAGGAGCTAGAAAGCAAGTATAGGAGACAGAGAGAGAGAGAGGGGCAGAAAGAGGGGTGAGAAGAAGGAGAGGGAAAGAGAGAAACACACCCCTGAGATTTCAAAACTATTTAGAACAGTTTCTATTCTTCTTGGTATGTTTTCCTTAGCCTTTGAGGGAGCCAAAGCATATTTGCATACATTTAGAACTGTATGCCTTCCTTACAAGACCTTTTCATTTTTTCCCCATTTAAGGAATGTGTACATGGCACAAGTTCACAATGTTTAAATCCTTTGTACATAATGACATGAAGCACTTGTACTCCCTTCAATTTTTTCAGTGTCTTCTGATACAACAAATTAATGTGTGCTACCATCACTATTTTGTGATTACACCCCCTTGATCTTTACATGCACAAAAAGATTCTTTGGTCATACTTTCCCTTTCAAGAGGGCTGGTTAAAGGAGTCCCTTATTCTGATCCATTCTATGCCTTTCCAGTTTAATATCTTGGAGAAATAACCACTTCCTTTTCTTTGCTTCTTCCTTAGTTATTTTTAATAGATATTGCCCATATAAATTCTCTTTTATCTGATGTGTAAAATTAAATTCAGCAATAAAATTAGACTTCAGCTCTTCCTTTAGAGAAGTAAGGTGTTTCTGCGACCATTTAACAACTTTTACAATAAATTCATATTAAATTTGTGCTTGGCCATAGAGCCATAAATCCCTGGTGAGAATCTTTTCAATCTCAGTTTTGGATTAATGGAGTCAGTGAATCAGAGATGCTTCAAGAAAATATTCTGGGATTCACAAAGAAACACTTTTCAATGATACCATGTTGCTGCTATTTGAGACAAGACTTGCAAATTTGACACAATGATTATATGTGAGTTTTCAGAACTGCAAGGGACCTTGGCTATCTTCTCTGTCTGTAAACCACATCTCACCAGCCCACACTCAGACCAGCAGCTGGTATTAGGTTTTGATGCATTTGCAGTGCTAAACCCTACAATGCTCCATTCCATTTCTCACTATATTGTTTAGTCCCTTAAGAGGGCTTTTATTTCATGAGCTGTAGAGTAAATTAACCCCAACAAAGCATTGGAATGCTGTGGCTGGGTTGATGTGGTTCCTGATTTACAGCTGTCTGAGGTACCTCTACATTCTCCTGGAATCTCCAACATGGGCCCTACTTCAGGCCATACTCAAGCAAGAGATCTTTCCTATAAAACACCTTACCTGTTACCATCTATTTTTAGAAAAATGAGACCTGATGCATGGTCATTTGAACATTTTTGTACTGCAGATGTTTTCTATACCTGTTTCTGGCTCTGAAATATTATTTTTCCATCAAGCAGAAAATGAAAGCTGGCCAAAGTATAGCAAATGAGGAGTTTCCTCAAAATATGACTGATGTTCACATGAGGTGTGCTGCTCTCTTAGGAAATAGTGACAAAATATTAACCAGGCTGTCAGACAGATATGCAGGGATATGTTTGCATTACAAAATCACTACATAAAAGTATGAAGATTTCCTTGTCAAAACTTTGCAAAGCCAAGACAAGTTAACATATACAAGCCAATTAATAAAACAAAATTGCTAAAGTAGTAGTTGGCATATTAGTTGCTATTTGGGTGCTAGTGATCAGATTCTATGAAATAAAAAAGAATTTTACATGTAAGTTAAAACATTTATTACAGGTGCTTAATCATGAAATCCGCTTAATCGGGACATTTCCCAGGGAACCAAATTAAGCCTAATGATACTTAATGGCAAGGACTGCTGCTTAATTGGGGTGGTAATTCCAGTTAATTGGGATTCCTGCAGGTGAGTAAATGGTACTCAAATAGAGATACTGTATCTGGCCTTCATGATGTTCCAGTATAGGTGGTGCTTTGTCTTCCCTCTAACAGCCTCTCCTGCCCCTGGATCAGCAAAGCAAAATTACTTCTGTGCTTCCATTTTGGTCCTTTCAAACATTGCTTAAAGTTACAATCAGTCTCTCTGGGCTGGAAACACAAGAGTACTGCTTTAAAATCCAGCAATACTGAATTTGTGTATTTATTTGTATTTCACCAGGATTTTGGAAAGATCACGCTCAACATCTTGCCTGACCAAGGAGAAGCTTTTTAATAACTCTTCAGGCATCATGGAGATGCCACAAAGATATCTGAAAACTTCTGGTTGCAACTTCCACTGCAGAACAGCATGTCCTAATTAGAAAGGTTTCTGCACTGGATTATGAGAATAAATATTTTACTACCAAAAAAAAACCCCTTATATACATCCTTTCTTCAATATGAAGAAAGTGAAAGACATACACTGTCATGGCACATTGCTCAAGGGTTTAGTTTAGTCCTTCACACACACATGCTAAAATACTTGGAATTTTTTTTACCCATTATTAAAATATGTTTAAATATTATTCAGGCTTTTACATGGCACCAGAGACCCTGAAAACTGCTAATGGCATCTACCTTATTAGAAAGATCTGTTTTCATCATTACTTCTTGAGGTGCTGGTGCTCCCTGGAGGACCCAGCACTCCGTGTGCTGCGCTGTCGCTCGCTGAGTTGGAAGAGAGGCAAGCTGCCAGTTCTGGGGAGAGAGAGCTGCAGCTCCAGTGCCTGCAGCTACCTGGGGAGAGCCACTGTTCTCTGTAGGTCTTTAAAAGCACAGCAGAGTGGCCTGACTCCAGAGCTACTGCGTCTCACAAATCCACAATAGGCTCCACAATTCCTAGGCTCTCTTGGGAATTCTGGGGAGAGAAGAAATCTCGTTTGCTCCAGTCCCCGCAAAACCCAGGCTGCCACTGAGCCCGCATTCCCCAGTGTGCGGGTGGGGCTGCCCAGCCCTGCCCAGCCCAGGGCTGCTGGCTGGAAGGAGAAAATACCACCAGCCAACTGAAAGAGGTGGTTGCAAGATCCAGGCTGCTGGAAAACAGCATCCCCAGGTGAGTTCAGGCTTAATTGGAGCCAGGAGATCCCCAGACAACAGACTTTGGCTTTTCAGAGTGGCACATCTCCCTTTGTGAGCTTGAGGGGGACTGCTGCAGCTCCAGCAGTGCTGACATGAAAGAACAAGCTGTTACCATGAGCAGGGGCCCCCACAGCCCCCATTTCATACAAAAATCAGGATTGCACCTCTGTCAGAACCAGCAGCTCCTGAATCCTGGCTCCTGCTGAGATCAAAACTATACCTGATTTTTCCCCCTCCACTTCAAGCAGAGGTTCATTTTCTCAAAACCTTTCAAAACAGAGGTGATCTGAACAGAGAAGGAAACATTCTGAAAATACTTGGCAGGGCTGATTTTTCTATTAGCAGAGTGTACCCAGCCTTAAGGATTAATACATTCTGCTGCTCCCGTGGGTGATTGCCAGCAGGAGCTCCAGTTTGCACAGCTAGGGAGTTGTACCTCTGCACATATTTCCCTGTGCCTCTGTGAACCTCCTTAGTCCCAAACCAACACACAATACTTGATTTTGATTCCCCTTTACAGTGGAGAGCTTCAGAATGAGAAGTCAGACTCAGAGAGAAATGCTATCCAATAAAAGCACCAAAGTCAGGTTTGCTGTACTTTGTGATCTCAGACATCTATAAGGTGCAGATATATCTGAAGTTCTAGCAATCAGCAGTTGCAAAAGGAAAATAAGAATGATAACTTCAGAACTAAAACAATTTGATCTTTGTTGTGGAGCTGTTTAAATCCTGTAGTAAAAACACAATGAAATTCTCAGGTGAAGTATGACAAAAGATTTCACTTCAGTTTTTCTCCCTCATATCGATTTCATGTCACTACAGATAGACTAAAATAAAGGACAACTAAATGATTGGGCCAAAATTAGGAAGAATGTCTGCTGATCTACTGCTAAAAGTCTTCAGTACAACACATAAAATCTGTACTGGAACAGCTAACCTCGTTTTTAATTTATACCTAGTCACGTGTACTGCATCAAATGAGCAAGAGCACAGTTATGAAATAGTGAATACACTCAGAGAAATCTAAATGGAAGCCATTTTTCATGCTGATCTCACACTTGAATTTACAGATTCTTCACAAAGCTTATCATAAAATATTCACAGAACTACAAGAATACCAGTGTTAGTAAATTATTCAGTCAAACGCTAACTTGAAGTAGCAGCTTTTTCTCTTCTTCAGAGCATCCAGGCACAGAAAATGAGTTGGTGTGCAAAGCAAAGATCCATCTTCCATATGGGACTACCTTTGATGCAGGATTTGACCAACAATATCGCCCTACATTTCCTCTGCACTGGCAGAAACCAGAGGATTGCTGCCAAGGTTCCTATCAGAGGCAGAATAGCAGCAGCAGAGATAACATCAATACACAGCTAAAACAGTGGAAACAGAATGATTTTTCTGTTTGAAATTCCTGACCAACTTTTAAACTGTTTTCTACTGGTTCCTGTATGCTGCCAATTCCAAGCCAAAGAAAGATAATCAGGATTACTTATCCTCAAGAAATGCTACTCTAGAAACAAAGAACTTGCATAGATTGCCAGAATCCATCAAGAATTAGCTGAGGGATTTTAATGGACTCTACAGCAATTTTCACTGTTTAAGGGGAAGAAATTATATGAGTTTAAATAAGTAAAATGTAAATTATTAATCATCATCATAATGAAAAAGTTGAAGTGTCAGAAAAAAAATCCTTTAACAGAAGATTAATGAGGACAACAAAAGAAAAAGGAGAAAGAAGAAAATAAACAATTATTAGAAAAGTCAAGATTGTTAGTATTAGAAATTAGTTATTGCAATGAAATACCAGGGCTCAAAAATGATTGAGTCAGCAGGTGATCAAAAACATAAATGAATATTAAAATAATGAAGGACAATAAGTCAAGGTGAACTAACTGAAAATCAAGCCAGAACGATTTTAAGGCATTAGTAATGAAGAAAAGAGGGCAGCTCCTCAGCAGGTAGAAACTCACCAGAGCTATGCTGATTTAGACCATCTAAAGTGGTGTCTATGTGCTGTCAGGGAACAGGAAAAACCTCACCTCTCACTCCTGGACCTGAACTGGAAGAAAGAAAAGGTGGCAGTCACCCAGATGAATTTCTGCCAGGAGTACAGCATGCTAAAACTTCTCCGTTTGTAATTTATTCACTCAGAAAAGCAGTCAGGTCTGCCATACCTATCTGCCAACTTGGACCTCATTCACCAGGCAGCACTGGTCAAAAAAATTAAATCCAGAACTCATGCAATTCTGAAACATTTTATTTCAATGTTTCCAAAAGCATTATTGAGTTTTTCATACCAAGTATTTTAAACTGACAAAAATTAATATCGGAAAGGTGTTAAAAATCCATTTCAGGTTGGAAAAATGTTTCACTTGAGCTAAAATAATTTATGGGAGTTCATTTTGTTCAGAAAATTGAAAACCCATTCTTTTCACAGCTCTGTAGCTTAGACCATTTACGGAGACTCATATTTGCTCTAATCTCAGAAGCATCTAAAGTACAATCAAAACCTATATATTTTCAGTGTGTACAAATGATTACCCTTTAAACAATGCTATATGCATAAATGAAAAACCCTACTCCAACAAAGACATTTATTTTAGGAACACGATTTCTTAAATAAATGAAAGATTTTATGATGTGAACCATGAATAAACTTAGCATAAGATACCTCTACATATGGAGATACTTAGCGATGTAGACAGAATTATTACTGAAAAGTATTTTGCAAATTATAAAGCACAAAATTTACATTATATCACTTATGAATTTATTTGTATTTTTTAATGTATTACTCACATCATACCATATAGTAATTCAGTTAAGGAATGTCTTTACTAATTGGCAACACTACCAGAGTGGCAGACTTAATTTCATTTAAAGGCATCAAACAAGCAGGGAATTATAGATGGGCATGCCTTTCCATAGATGCTTACCTAAAGATTTTGACAAGCTTCTCCAAAACACAGTCAAAAATTAGCTACCTAATACAGGGCAAGCATAAAATTCTAAACTGTTGTTCCCTTAGAGTCCCATGCACAAAGCTGAGCAGGAGACTCATCTGGCCACAAAAAGGAGTTTTAGGCAGTAAAGAAATGGTGAAAGAATGGACATTAGCTTTCCTGAGAAGAAGAGGGCCAGCAGCACAGAATGAGGCAATCATTCTTCTGTGTCCTAGACAGAATTTCCTTCTCTTCTCAAGCTCCCTGGTCATACCATTGTCACCCAGAGCTGTAGGTCCATATGAAACCTGGTGTGACTCACTAGAGAACTTGTCTCCAGTCCCTGACAGCAAGAATCAAGCTCTTCTATCGCTAACATGACCTAAGTCCTCAGCTACCACCTGACATTAACAATCAATTTTGCCAGCTGCTTGGTAAAGGTGTGCCAGGTGTTCTACCAGACACTGCAATATCTCAGATCAAACTTTGCCTTGACTCTGTCACAGCCCCAGGGAGAAGTGTCCCAGCAGAGAGCCTAAAGCAGGGAATCAACAAACCTAGACTCTCTTCTCACTACTAACTACTTCACTATGTGTTCCTGTACTTTCAACACTGACATGCTTCGTTTTTCAAAATAAAATTCATTAAATGCTTATAAAGAATTCTGGGATTCTCTGAGGGAAATCGTTACAGACACTCAATATTATTAGAAATAGCATGTAGAATAAGCTAAAGCAATCTATCTCAATTTAAGTCAATATATACATTTTTGTATCATCTGCCCAGCATAATCTCCCTGCTAACTGCTGGTAAATGACTGCTTTCTAAGACTGGTTTAAAAAATTGTTCACACAATCAGAACTGCATCATGTGCATTTTAAACAAGACTAGAGCCAGAAGCAAACTCCAATTCAACCCTCCCCTGCCTTACCCAGTGAAGTCCACAGTAATGTACATTTTCAATTATTCGCCATTCAAAATTCAACAATTCAACAAACTGTCATATTAGAAACAATTGTAGCTCGTTGGCAAAACCTAACACTATTATTACACAGAAACTGTCAGCACAAAAATAGTGTCATTTCTCATTGAAAGAACTGTTCTTGTAGAGGTCCATCCAGCAGCAAAGGATGGTACAATTTAGGTTATATGGTTTCTAAGTAGAGTAGGGTCATTTAAATATAATTTTCAAGCAATCACTATCTCTGCCTCAGAAAATATAGTAGTATCCAATATCTAATTATTATTCTGAAACATTCCACACACTGTATCTTGGAACAACATGAAAACTAACGTCTTTTCTATTCAAACATTGAATAGTTTAATGTTATGATAAATCAGACTGAACTGGAATTAACAACTACCAGGTGCAGAATATTATTATACTAATTCATAAAGCACAATTCGCATTTTCCAGTATGATGAATTATCTTGCTAATGAGGGCTGCAATATAATAGAGCAGCTAATAGACAGATTCTTTAAAGTCATGCAATATAAGTTACTTCCCACTCAGTTACTTAGTTTAATCGTGTAAAGTATTATTGTATTACATTTCCAAGTTCCTTGGGGAGATAGTGTCTCTTTTGATGGAAAGCAAGGTTACTTTGGAAGAACAGATCATCAACTGAGGACATCACCTAAATTGCCTCATGATTTCTACAAGTTTGGGAACACAATAAGCAATTACTAACAGCCAGCTGATGGGTGGTAACTTGCAGAATCACTGCCTGCACAGTTACTGCTTCTAACTCCACAGTAAACAGAATATAATTTGAGACTATTCCTTAAAAAGAAGGGTAAGCTGTCTCTGGTATAAGCACAGAAGGGCTGATCCCCCATTTCTTGTTTACATGGCCGTGCTGTGTATTCATTTTATTCAAAATGGGAACAAGACAGGAAGATTGGCCAGAATCTCAGAAAGATGCATTCCCTGTCTTAGGCTTTGGGAAAGGCCAAATCACCATGATGCAAATGGGACAAATTACTACATAATTTAGCATAGTATCATATATATGATCAAAACAAAAATTCTGCCTAAGGATTGTGTGCAACTGGATGTGATGGCACTACTCAATATGTGATTGACATCATGTGATGTCACAAATTTGCACATGGAAGAACTACTAGAATTAATGAAACCCAAATGAATGAATTTGGTAACAGCCAGGGTGCACTGTTGTACACATCACAGCACAGTTCTGTTCCTAAATCGGAGAGACTTGATTGTATTTTTCAATTTCCTTGAACCCCAAGCTGCAAGCTATGCTGCTGTCTGCTGAAAGACACTTACAGAAATGTTTCCAACAACCCTAATGAAATGAAAACCACAATACTCTGCACAGCTCTTTTCTGCTAATGCAGTCCCAGTCACATCTGGTCCTCCTTTTATCCTAAAACAAAGATAAATTCATATGTGAGAACAAAGAGATATCCATGTCATTTGGTGTTATTTTACAAAAGAGAGAAAAAAAAAAGAAAAAACAACAAAACCTTTCTGGTTTTCCCATGTCAGCAATCAGAGCTTTAAATTCATGAAAGGAGATTTGCATTCATTATTTAAGCACAAGGCAAGAAAATATTTTTTAAAAGCATCCAAGATTGACTAAACTTCCCGTTGGGTCTCCTTTCAGACACATCTTCTGCACCCCCTCACACTGCAAACATCCCCCTAGGAAAATGCATCTGCCAGGTTTTAAGACTTCTGCAATGCAGTTTATTAGCATATTATTTTCCTAGCCCACCCCCAATCAATAATACTTACCTTTCTCTTATAGCATTTGATAGTTCTTAATCCATCCTACAGTATCTCACTCAGCCTGCCGCCCTGGATGTGTCCTGATTTCAGAGTTTGTCATCCCTGAACATACCTTGGATAATTGTTTGGTTTTTTCCCTAAGTCCACCTGCAATTTTGGATACTTACATTACCAAAAAAAAAAAAAAAAAAAAAAAAAAAATTCTCTAGCTTCAAAACTGCTGTAATTAATTATAACCATGGAAAATGTTATTTAATGACTTAGGGCCCAATCCTGTTCCCATTAAAGTGAACTGCAGGACTACCATCACCTTCAGAGAAAGTAGGATCAGGTTTTAACTTCCAAAGGCTTAAATATTTAAATTAGTAGAGTTTGAATGGACTATCCAGCATATTTTTGCTTAACGCAGGAATCCCATAAGAGATCAGAACATTCAAATGCTGAACTCTGATGCTGAGACATTTGGCATTGGGAGAAAGCTGTAAGTTATTTCTGCACTCTGATGTGTGTCTGTGTAACTGCTGCAGAGAGTGCTGAATATAAAACTGCTGCAGGTAACTCCTGATGCACAGTTTGGTACTGGGCAGAGTTTCTCATAAAAACTGCAAGACAGCCTGAGTAATCTAAGAATGAAGGAGGAAATGGGGTGTTTGGGTAGAAATTTTTGGCCATACATGAGTCTGGAGAAAGACTCTAAATCCCTTCTTTAACTTTTGCTTGTTCTGGAGAAACCATCACAAGCAAGGCAATACAATAAAAATGGCATTACTCCCCCCACCAAATGAAGAGGGAAAACCTTCATATACAAACATTCAGGTCATATTATAATTGGCCCTTGCACCATAAAAATTTAAGTTGTGTTCTATTCTGGAAAATAATTACTCACATGTTTGTTCAACTATGTGCACCTCTGTGCCCACCTGAATTCAAATGTGAAGTTAGGTATATGTATAATTACATTTAGGATTATCACTTTGACTTTAAGCTCCCAGGGCAAGGCCATGTATACATCGTTATCCATTACAGAGTTTGTAGTAGCAAGTAATGCTGTGATAGTTGTGTGCTGAATTATACAGCTCATGATAGGGAAAATCACAGAATTATTGCATATTCTGAGCTGGAAGGAACCACAAGGATCATCAAGTCCAACTCCTGGCCCTGCTCAGCAGCATCCCCAAGAGTCACACCATGTGCCTGAGAGCATTGCCCAAACACTTCTGGAGCTCTGCCAGGCTGCTGCTGTGACCCCTTCCCTGGGGAGCCTGGTCAGTGCCCAACCACCCTCTGGGGGCAGAACCTTTTCCTGACATCCAACCCAAACCTCTCCTGACACAGCTTCAGGTCACTCCCACAGTCCTGTCCCTGGTCAGC